CCATCCACACATCCATCCATCATCCATCCATCCACCCATCCATCCACACATCCATCCATCATCCATCCATCCACCCATCCATCATCCATCCATCCATCATCCATTCATCCATCCATCCATCCATCCATCCATCCATCCATCCATCCATCCATCCATCCATCATCCATCCATCCACTGAAGCTGATCCACGTTAACTTGGCAGCTGTGGTTTTGGTTACAGCAAAGGGCAACACCTGCAACACCTGCTTTCAAGGGGATTTTCCTTCGGACAGAGAACTTCGGGATTCACCGACGATCACTCAGTAATCAGAGTTAGATAAACGACACTAAATACCTCACGCTCTTCTGAACTTCAAGAAGGCGCTCCCCTGAAAAACACTGTCTGATTTGAACATAGGTTTGAGTTTGGAAAATGTCAAACTTCTTAACTAGTGGTTTGGACGTTCAGCTCTGCAACTTGTTCGACCTGATAAGTCTTCATTTCAAAACCACTGCATGGTAAACCACGCTCTTACTCTCCCAGGCGAATTCTCCAAAACTTTCGTTGACCGTTTATTTAGAAGYGTGTTTACACTGTGAAACCGCGGCGTGTGTGTGGCTCGGCCTTTGTGTTATTTGTCTGTTCGCTCGCACAGAATTCCCCCTGACCTTACCCAGGAATGTGTATTAGGGGATGATGAGGGGAGAATTTGATATTGGCCCCTTGAGATAGTGGACATTCCGAGGCCGGGGTTGCACAAAAAGACATTTCTGCTTTCTGTGGTCCTCATCGTCAGGCATAAACGCTGCTTCCTGCAATCTGTCACTAGAACCCTCTAACACGCTTATGCACCTGATGACACCGCAGAGGCACCTCTCATCTCTTCGGAGAGAGCAGGAGGCGAAGGGAGAAACGAGGGGATTTTCTTTTACACGTCAAGCCTCTGTACTGTACTGAAACAGATTTCTGCCCGGCCCCATCCATTGTCTTAAAAAGCRACGTGCCGAAGGCCAGAGAGGCCCACAAGGCAGTGGATGTACGTCCAGTTGGGAGGTGGGGGGATTTTAACACCAGCTCAATGCTTCACAACCACGGCCGCCTCATTTGTAGACTGTCCCACCAAACCCCCCGGACCTCCGGGACAAACGGCTCAGTTATGAGGGATGAAAAATAATCTTGTCCCCGATGTTGTGTTTTTCAATACTCCATTCATAGAAGGATGTAGCGCAGATCCGCTGGGGAATAATGTTGCCTTTTGTGTTGCCCCTGCTTCCCCTCCCTTCTCACTGACCTGCACTGAGAAATAGCTGAAAGATCTCAGCCCCACAAAAAAAAAAAAAACACCATAATTTCTGAGATAAAACACAGAATAATGATTTCACTTCGTTTACTGAAAGAAATCTGTCATTTAAATAAAAAATCTGGGGTTTTCAGACTGGATCCCCCCTTTCTTTTGTGACAACAAGACATCTTCATCCCAAATTAGAAAAATGTAATTCTCAGCCGGTTTTCACCTTGTTTCATATAAATGCACATTTAAAAATAAAACCACGTACAAATTATCTTATTTGTTCATCATATCTGAATAAAGTTTTTAAATGAACCAAAGCAACAGTCAGCATTTCAAAGAGAACATACATACCTGTTGGAAGTTAACTGTTTTTCACCCAAATAACTAAATACATTTAAAAATAAAAATAAAATTGGTTGCCTCCTCGCTGGAAAAACAAATAAAGGAACAAAAATAAGCTCAAATGGCAACCAACTTAAGTCCACACAAAAAAATATAGGAACTTTTCACAGAAGCGGAGCCAGAAAGTATCCAGAGCTGCAGGTTTTAGGGCTTTCATCTCCTCAAACCTGCTTGTCTATAAATACCTGGGTTCAGTGACAGAGATTGCGTAAAACAATAAACTCCACTGCGTTGAAAGCTTTACACCCTGTACCTGTCTGGAGGGGCGTCACAAAAGAAACAAAGACAATGAGGGAAAACTAACCCTTTACTGGCAGCCCAGCATCTCCACATTCAGGCGGCGCTCTCAGAAGGTGCGGTCCGGTTCATCCCAGAGCACGCTCTCAGAGGCTGTGGCTTCAGGACGCTCTGAGACGTGTTTGAAGTCAGGAGAGTGGGAGACAGGAAGTCCCACCTGTGGTACACGTCTGGCCTGTAAATCTAATTAAAGTGCTGCTTTATTTGCAATGATCATGTTCTGGGTGACTTTTCTTTTTAGATTTAAAGTAAAAAAAAAAGCATGACATGAACAGTGCAGACAGGAAATATACAGTAAACTTAACCATGCAGGATAATGAAACATCACCCAAGTCATCCCACATTTCTTATTTGTTTTCATGCAGCCACGGCCTTCATAAAAAATGTTTCTCAGGATTTATC